CATTCCGCTGAGCTGCTGCTCGGGGAGTCTCTGGCGCGGAAGGGGCAGCCGAGCGATGGGTTTTTATATAAGGCTGTTGGCGGTCAGCAGCGGTCAGCGCTGTGTGCGGGGTGTTTCATGTCGTGGGAGCGTCACCAACTGTCAGGCCGGCGCCGCGCCCGCCCGCGCGCGCCCGCTCATGGGCACGTTCGCCGCCTCGGTTTTGCGGGCAAAGAGACATGGGGCGAGATGCTGCCTTTGGTTTCCATTGCTGTTGCTGTTATTAGTGCACGCTTATAATAGATTACATCGAACAGGTAGCCTCACCTTCCTAGTGATACTACATCTCGGAATATACCCTACCACGAACGCATGTTAGCTACTCAACAAAACATATGATTAAGTGAAAGTTTTAGATTTTTTTATGCATGACCGCTGATAATCGTTGGTACTGTAGTGAAAAGTAGGGAACGTCCAATATCTTACTTATATCCAAAATCAAAGAAAGCTGAGTGAAAAAGTTACAAGTTTTAATTTTAAATCAAAAAATATGATAAAGGCAGTGAAGTAATATGTTACGGTGGACTGCAATGATCTCTTGCTTATTTTTGAAGTCGCGCTCTGGGGGAAAAGGTAAATATCAGCCTCGATCTCTGCCCTCTTTTTAGGGGTGCAGATGATTTTACCGCTTTTGAAGAGGTGCTGATTTGTAGTGCCCGTGTCTTTGTGAAGACACTTAAAATTGACACCTTTCAAAAAACTTTTCCTTTATTACAGCCACTTTTTTTTGTCTACAATAAGATTAATTTTCTTAGTGTGGTGGCTCATCAAACAGTTCACTGACGAAAAAAAAAATTATATCGGACCACGTAAACTTTTACAACTTATATATCTCTGGCCACACCGGCGCTCCACGCACCCGCCCCTCGCCGCCATAACTCACCACACTTTACAGCGCACTAATCTAAAACTCAACGCCCGCCTCTCTAAAATCCTCGCGCCGCGCGAGCGGGCCGCGGCCGCAGCAGCTTGAAACAGAGATCGATTTCACTTCATTTCAATGCCGCCCGTCCCGGCCCGGGGCCCAGGCCCGGCTCTGATAGGCTATCTCTGCCGCCGCCCTTATTGTCTCGCCGCGCTCGCCGCCTCCGTCGCCCGTGAATGGATTGCGAGGCGCGATAAGTTTTGGATACGACAGAAGGTATTGCTGGGCTGGGTACGGCTGCTGCTGCTGTGCCTTCGGGTGGGAGAAGGGAGGGGAGGGGGGGCGCTCTTTCTCCTTACAACTCGCCCATTTCATTGATGGTGCGAAATGGAGATGGATAAATGCTATGAATATGATAGACCAATTTTGATGGTACACGTGTACCTTTGTTCTGACGGTACAATTTACGTGGCATACACACTCTGAGTGTTAAGGACAATTTGTGCAACTCCGCGTCCATACCCTGAATTTAGTGTCATAATCCAACTCAAACGGTTATTCCGTATCTTTTTTCTGAAGTATGCTATGACCGGCTATGACGTAATGTCCGTCACCACTCCAGTAGTATCACAAGTTTTTTTTTTTACAGTGTGCATAACTGAATGCAGATACAATATTGTGACTTGCTAGTCACTAAATGTTTGTTGCCAGTTATAGTCATAATATTGTATCTGAGCTAGTTATGCACACAGAAGTCCGGGTCTGGTTACAAAAATTGTCCTTGGCCATTTAGAGTGCAGCAAAAGTGACTTCATTATTATTTCGTTAGTCCTACCGGTCGAGCGGTATATATCGATCTCCATGCACCGAAGGACCGCAAATACGTTGATTCTCAAAATACTAAGTATAACGTAAATGGCTATAATTATAGTTTACTTTACAATGACGCATTGAAGAGATCCTGAACATTTATATTCGTTTCGTGAACTTGTAACGTAACGACAATACCTTAAGTTATTGGTCCCTGCATTGTAGAGCATTTCCTTGCTAGACGCATTCCTTTCATCCCCAAAAGCTGTCTTGTAATGAGCTGCAAGAAACTCCTTAGAATGCCGTTCAGTTAACTGAAATGAAATTTCATTGCATATTTTATGTGTAGTCAAGACTAGTTCCCAGGTACATTCCTTGATTCAAGACCTGGCATTTCTGGTGCTGTGCGCTTCAGTCCTACAATGTTCTCGTATAATCGTCTACGTGGCCACAGTGTGGTGACAGTGAGGGCACGTGGCTCAGGTGTCTTCGCCACGTGGCCTGGATAGCCCGATCCTGGTCCTCCCCTCGATGATTGTCACGACCCTCTTTATTACTTTCGTTAGGAGTCGTCCTCCTCAATCTCCGTTGTTGTCCCTCTGCGTCAGAACCTCTCGCCCAGCGCCTCGCTCCCCTCCGTCTGACGCCTTTTAAATGTTTCCCGCCATCTCCCCCTATTCCTTCCTTCCCTCCCCCCCCCTCTCTTTCTCTCTCTCTGTCTCGCTACTGCAGCGGGGGCAGAAGAGCCCGTTGGAAGCACCGCCACTGCGGCTGCCGCCCCATTTCGAACGAGTGCGCCGCTTTCTTGTGGTTTGGGGTGTCGGCAATCAACGTCCGCTCACCGTCACTTCCCCCTTCACTCTCTCTCTCTCTCTCACTCGCGCGCTAGCGTTCCCCTCCTTTCTGCTCCCTCTCTCGCACCATCACTGTTGTCAGGTCGAGGCAAAGCGTTTGCTGCTTGGGCTGCTCTGCTCCATGGTCTCAAACGAGACCAACGTTGTCGTGATGCCATGGAAAGGGGAGCAGTGGTAGTTCGAGGGGAAGTGCGGGAAGGATGAACAAGGCAAGCGCCTCCAAGCCGACGGAAATGTTTTTGTCCCGGGCCGCTGTTTGAAATGGCTCAGACCAGAACTCAATTCTCCTGTAGGTTTGTCTTTCGAACTTCTCAGTAGATAAACCGCGTGAGTGTCCAAATTGTGCACCGTGCGAACGTTTTTTTTCTTTTTCATTTTTACTACTGACGTCTTTGCTGAGTCGGGTCCTCCTGGGAAGGAGCTGGCTTGTGATCGCTCGCAGGCATCGTGGCATCGCGTCTACTCGGCTGCTGCCGTCGCCGCCGACGCTCAGGAAAGTTTTGGCGCTGTGCGTGTCAGAAGACGCCTGGCTCGGCCGAGGCTTGGCCCGGCTGCATGCTCGTGCTTTATTAGGCGCTCCAGGAGAGAGAGAGAGAGAGAGAGAGAGAGAGAGAGAGAGAGAGGCCAGTGATGACGTCAAGTAATGGAGCCGCTTTAGATACTTTTTATTATCTTCGTCTCCCTCCATTCTCTCACCCTCACCCCGCCCTCCCTCCGCTTCTTTCTCAGCTTTTCGCACCTTCATTTTTTTATTTCTTGCCTATCTCTATCCCTCTCTCTCTCTCTTTTCACACGGCGACCCCCTAACTATCTCTCTCCGTCTCTTTTTCTCCTTATCTCCTGGCTTCTCAGTCGCCCGCTCGCTAGACGTCGATCTCCGCTGCCCCCCGTCCGGTAATAAAGTAGCAGGGTACACATCGTCGCTGCCTCGCGGCGGGGCCGGGCCTCGCCGTGCTGGGCGTGGGGGAGGAGATTAAGGGAAGAACAAAGTGGCCGGACGAGCAGGGAGGAGGAAGGAGGAAAGAAAGTTGTGACCGTACCTTCTCTCTTTTATTTAAATTTTTACGACGGCCACCAAAGTAGCGCGGATGTTATTTCGTCTCGAGGGGTAACAGCAAGTCGGTCTGAACCAACGTGTCATTTCTGTTGTGTTTTTTTTTTTTTTGTAGGGGCGGGAAGAATCACTCTTGCGACTGTTATTTCGGTCGAATTTTGTGACCCGCGCGTAGCGCGTAGCCCGACGGCAGCACAGCACAGAGAAGCTGCCTCCCCGTGGTGGGCGCGCCACGACGAGCAGAGAGCAAAGATGAGGAGGAGGGCAGCTGCTGTCCGGCCCTCAGCGCGGTCCGACCTTGCCTGGCCAAGGCCGCTGGCAGCAGGTCGCGTACCCCGCCAGGGCCGCCAGG